ACAAAAGTCAAATTCTCTTTTGTTGGATGTACATTTAAAGCTCCCTTTCCATCAATCCAGTAGGTCTTCACTCTACCTTTGCCAGCTTCATCCATCCAACCCACATAAGCATAGCTATTAATCATTCCACTTCCAAAGCCAATAGCAAGATAACCGCTCTTTTTCTCACCACGCGCTGCAATGGTTATCGAATCCTCGGACAGTGTCCAAAAAAATGTAACTTGTTGGTCATCCAACAAAACACTGTTGTTATACATGTCTGATAAACCACCATCGACAACCTGCACTCTCCAACCCATTTTTTGTTGGAAAATTGAGTGATAAAAGACTTGGTCAGGAGTATTCCTGTCAGGTGCCCAAGTTAATTCCGTCGGGCTGGCTTGTACTCCTTCAGCTTCCGGTCCTCCAGCATAAATAGTCTCAGACATGTTCCTCAGTGTCGCATTTCCACCGAGCATGTCCGAAGTAATGTAGAGTGCAACATCATGCCCAGCTTGTAATGAGAACTTCACTGGCACCCCCCTCTCAACTCTCAGTAAAGGAGCCTCCTTCTTGTTGATGTAGAGAACTTTTGCAGGGTTTGGAGGATTTGGATAATGCAAAGCCGGACCACTAGTTACAACAAGAGGAGAATTTGCATCTGCAATAACAACATCTTGATCCTCCTTGTCTTCTGCATCAAGCGGACCCAAACAATCATTCACATGCTCTGAAACATTGAGAACCAGATGCCCGTAAGTCCCGCCGTGATTTTGAGGCAGATAGAACGGCCGAATTGCATCAGGCGGCTTCATTGGTCCAACAGCCCAAATGACATCCATACTTGCAGTATGATTGATTGGCACATCATACTTCTTATCAACGGTAACCAGCGGCCTTCGATACCGAACGAACGACACCCCATCTCTCCTATGCCCATAAATCAACCTAGTATTGTTCACCAAACCAACAGGATCTGAACCTTCGAAAATTGTATCCGGACAAACACCGTGCACCATACCATCCTTGTTTATCATACATTCACTGAGCCTTGTGATGTAGAAATCATCCACAAGCGGCACTCCATCCTCGTTGATCCCCATCACGGCAACATCCGCCCCAATCATGAGATTAGAACTCCCATTCGGGTTTGCCCACCCAAATGCCATGTAGTTCGTCGTCGGAATCGCCCCCTCCAGTCCGATCTCGATCAACTTATCCTTAGTACTCAATGTCCACCTAACCCTGTAGTTATCTGCCAAAATTTTGCAATTCTCGAACGAGGTGGGCGCAATAGAAATCGAACCCGTATCTTCCCCTGAATTCCCATCTTCCGACGGAGACGGAGCCACACTGGGACTACCCGTCGATCCATTATTTGGTTTCCGGAGAATAACATGTCCAAAATCTGATGCGGCAGGAAGGTCCCAGGCGGCAATGACTTGGATCTGATCCCATTTAACATTCTTCTTCAAATGCACAATGAAGGAAGCGTTTTTGTATGTCTCATTAAGCTTTTTATCAGACACGACAAACCCGGCGGTGAAATTATTAACATCAGGAGCGATCGCACCCCACCAGTGCACATCGGTCCCAGAAAGCATATCAAAATTTGAAACCCTAAAAGAGCAATCATCGATTATCCTAAAGGAACCTCTAAGTTGGTGCTGTACCATTTGAAATTCGGACTCGAAATCGACGAGAGGACTGGTTTTAGAACAACCAGATCCAGCATCCACATAGTAACAAACAATCGAACTTATCAAGATAAAACACCCAACGAAAATGGGTGTGTGATGCATGAGGACGAGATTGGGATCCAAGTCGACTCACCCTCTCGCTAGGATTAAAAAAAAAAAAAAAAAAACACCTCTGGATCTAGATTCAACAATAGATATATATATCGAAGTCTAAAAACGAAATGAATCAAAATTGTTCCATTACCAGAGATCTCGGACGGTGATAATGGATTCCCGATCGGAAATTCAATTGCAATTGCAAATGCAACAACCCAACAATCGAGGACGGTTTCTAGGCCGGGACTTGGACAGCTTTTTTTGCTGGCACGTTGATCTTGGTTAGTGCGTTAAGCAATCGGCAACATATTCAAGATCGTGTACAAAAAATGGTGGTAATAAAGAAAAATTCCATTCGTGGATTTTGATGCTTTGGTCTAAGTTCAAGGAATTGTTTACGAGCTGCAATGAAACGGAACGAAATAAAAAATTAGAATTAAATATAATCGCTTAAATTAATAAAAATATAATTGAATTTTTAAATTTTTATTAACCATCTTTAAATTTTTAAAATTGCCCATAAACTTTTAAAAAAGGTTTAAAAATAGTATTATAAATAAAATAATTAGTAATATAATTTTTTTTTTATATATTCAGATTATTTTTGAAAGTTTATTATATATATATTTTTAAAACGTGATACTAGTAAGAGTTTTTTTTTTTTTAATTTAGATGGAAAATATATTTTTCGTCCTCTGCATAATTTTTATTTAATTAAATAATAAAATTTATATCTCCAAGAATGGTTGTTCTTTCGAGTAGAGATGTCGATAACGACTTTGGTGACATTAAAGATAAAACTTTTGATCGTCATTCTCATCGAACAAAATGACAACATCAGCTTCTTGCTCTACCAGATAACCTCAATGTTATGCTGGGTCGAAGACATGTCCTTCGTTCCTTTTTGTTGCAACATTTGAACTCGAAAAAATATTAAACATTTTCCATTAAAAAAATTTAACAATTATGTTTTTTTTGAGATGAAAATTACCAATACAATTTTTGTAAAAATTATTATTATTATTAAATCATATATTTAAATTGTATTAATGAAAATATTGTGTGCAATTAATCCCTTAGGGATAAATTTAGCATCTACACTATCCTATTCTACCCAAAATATTTTACATTTTAATGATTAACAATTAAATACGTATTAAAAACAAATAATAATTTGGACAAGATATTAATAACTTCTCCGATATCTACGTGTGTATATTATTTTATGCGCTAAATTAATAAAAATATTTTAATTTTCAAAAATTTCAATAATATTTTTAATTAAATAAATTTAAAAATATCCAACGGTAATACTATTAATTTTTTTTTTTTTTCATTAAAACAATTTACTCTCTCATTTTCAAAATTTTTATTAATATTCTTAAATTAAATTAAAAATAAAAAATAAAAACACATTTAAACTTAATCTAGACATGGTTTTTGTCTCTATATTATCAACTTTTGTGAACATTTTTAGCATTAACACCTATAAAATAATAATTATTATTATTATTAAAAAATTTAAATTTGTCCAAATAAAATAAAAGTATATGAATGAACTGAAACCACATTTAAATGAGAATGATTCTAAAGATAAAATAATCGAGAAAATCTTTTAAAAAAATGGATAATTACTACATAAGTTGATAATCGTGTCGAGTAGTTGTCGAATCTTGGACATGAGACATTACAATATCATCAAAACCCAGTTAACGTAGGTAAAACTTATTGTTCATTAATTAGAACCAAATTCAAAGTTCGAGATTCAACATGTCACTTTTGAAACCATATCAGTTGGACAGGGCAACAAATCATTTTTTATAAGGATATGGAAACTTCTCTCTAACAGACACGTTTTAAAATTGAGAGGCTGACAACGATACGTAACAGACCAAATAGGACAATATCTATTAGCTGTGAGTTTGAACGGTTATAAATGGCATTAGAGTTAGGCACCGCCGTGTGCTAATAAGGATGCTGGTCCCCAAGAGGTGAATTATAAAATTACACCGTTAATTAAAGAATATGAAATTTTTTTATTAATAAACTTGTTTTAAAACCTTCCAAATATATATATATATATAGTTTTGAGCTTAACAGTTAAACAATATATATATATATTATCGGTAAAAAAAAAATAAATAAAAAAATAAATAAAAAATAAAAGTGGTTGACAAGGACAAAATAATGGAAGTCTCCTTCATGTGGGGATTTTATTTAATTTTTCCTTTTTTTATTATTATTTAAAAATAATCTTTTAAAAAATATATAGCTTTCATTATTTTGCTTTAGGCTTCCCCAAAATGTCTCATACTAATGGAGAGAGTATTATTTGTTTATAAACTCATGATCACTCCTTAAACTAGTCGATGTGGGACTTTGATCATCCAACACATTGAAGTTGTAATATATTAGATTATGGTGCTAACCTAGCGGTATCTAGGATGCATGCTTACACATCGACTTTTCATATATTAGATTGTTTATCGAAAAATCGAACTTAGTGTTGACCTAGTAATGACTAAGACACATATCTGCATTACGTCTAAAATAACGATAGGTTGACACATCGACTTTTCATCATTGACCTAGTGGTAATTAGGATGCACGTATGGTTTACGTTTAAAATAAACGGCAGTTTGACATGTCGACTTTTCGTCTATTAGATTATTTGTTGAAAAATCGAACACAGTGCTGATCTAATGGTGACTAAGACACATGTCTTGATTACGTCTAAAATAAACGACAATCTGGCACATCGACTTTTTGTCTATTAGACTGTTTATTGAAAAATCGAACATGGTGCTGATCTAATGGTGAATATGACGCATGTTTGAATTACGTAAAAAATAATGACAGTCTGACATATTGACTTTTTGTCTGTTAGATTGTTTGTCAAAAAATCGAACATGCCTACATTACATTTGAAATAACGACACAATATGCATATAAAAAATTAAATAATAATTATTCATTGATTTATTTTTTAAAAAAATTATATATAAAATTTTATTTCCTAAATTTTATCAAATAACTTATATTAAATAAAATAACTTACCATTTAAATTCTAATTTTTTTAATAATTAATTTATAATAAATTGATATTAAATATTGAAATAATATGTCTATTTTTTCTTATTATCTAAATTATAACAATTTTGTATTATTTTATTTAATGCCACAACTGATTTTTCGGTACGCCATTTTTTGCCGCTAAAGTTGCCAACTCTTTTCTACTTCTGAGCATTGTGTGAAGCTCTGCAAAAACCAAATGAATTTTTTCAAGGAGATCGAAGAAGGGAGCAAAATCAAAGCAATAATGCATTTCAATGTTTTTCTTCTTCTTCTTCTTCCTCTGGAGATTCCTCGCGGTGTTCTTCTCTCTGCACTCTAGTTTCAGAAGCAGTTTCCGGTTTCCGATATGGTCAAGTGTGAAAGAAACAATGTCGGATCTGTAGTTTTTGACCGAGTTTCCACTTCCACTGCCTCTTGCGGAAATTTTCGCCTTCGTACGTCATTCTCCGCTGCTTCATTCCGTAAGAAGATTTTTGACGCTGTAAGTTGTAGCGGAAGTTTTCACTATTGTTATCACCACGACGGCGATGGTACTGTTGCCTCGGAAATTAAACCGGCGTCCGAGATTGTGAATGAACGGCAGTCGGTGAGGCCAAAGCGGTCCAATGCGAAGTCGCAGAAGCTGTTGGATCTTCTGAGGTTGGAGTCATCGCAGGAATCGAGGCAGGAGACGGAGGAGGAGGAGGATCTGGAGGAGTTCATATGCGTGGTGAAGAAACTGCAGGATGATGTTTTGGTGAAGAGGAGAGCTGCTGCCAGTCGAGTTAGGTTGCTTGCAAAAGAAGATGCTGAAGCGAGAGAGACGTTCGCAGTACTCGGAGCCATTCCGCCGCTGGTTGGAATGCTTGATTTGGAAGACGATGAATCTAAGATCGCCTCGCTTTATGCATTGCTCAATCTTGGAATTGGAAACGATATGTAAGTTCTCTTTTTCATTGGAATCTTCCGATTTTGAATTGTTTATTGCACTTTCTTCTCTCCATTTTCTTGATTTTCACATGTTTTACTTAACGCGCGTTTTTTTAATCGGTTGTTTTTTTGTTCTTTCCTTCTCTGTCTCTTTCCTAATCTCCATGTGTTCTTCATTCTGCGTGGGATTTGTGATTATCCAGTTTCATATGTTTTTGTTTGGGTACTGATGAGTCACTTTCAGTATTCTCTCTAACATGTTTCTGCCATTTTTTGTTTTATTGATGCTTTCTTTTCCAAGTTCTATAAACTTCTGATTCCATTGTGATTTTCTCCGGTGATTGATATGTGGATGTCCTTGTTTTGTCTTAATTCCCCTGCCACATGATAATCTTTTTTTTTTTTAATCTAATTTACATACATGGATGTCAACTTTATTTCCGGAATTATGGGTTCTTTGGATTTAGTTAATTGGTTACCCTCTTTGCAGGAACAAGGCGGACATTGTCAAAGCAGGTACTGTTCACAAAATGCTTAAGCTGATCGAATCTGATAATTCCATAAATCCATGTGTCTCCGAAGCCATAGTTGCAAATTTCCTCGGTTTGAGCGCATTAGATACCAACAAACTGGTAATTGGGTCATCAGGTGCAATTCCTTTCCTGGTGAAGAACTTATACGACCCAGACAAAAAAGGTAGTTCACAAGTCAAACAAGATGCTCTACGTGCGCTTTATAACCTCTCTATTTTCCCATCCAACGTTCCATTTATCTTAGAAACCAAGTTGATCCCATTTCTTCTAAACTCGATGGGAGACATGGAAGTCAGTGAAAGAGCTCTCTCTATTTTAAGCAATGTGGTATCAATCCCAGAAGGCCGAGAAGCCATAAGCACTTTTCCAGATTCATTTGCAATAGTAATTGATGTATTGAATTGGGGTGATTCGCCAGGGTGCCAAGAGAAGGCCTCGTATATTTTAATGGCAATGGCGCACAAATCTTATCGTGATAGACAGGCAATGATTGAAGCTGGGATTTCATCCGCTTTGTTGGAACTAACTCTTTTGGGCAGTACGTTAACTCAAAAGAGGGCCTCGAGGATATTGCAGATTTTGAGGGTCGATAAAGAAAAAGAGATATCGGAGGATTATAGTTGGAATTCTTCTGCTCCAATTTGTGGTGGTTCATCTTCTTTTACAAACCCAATTCTTGGTTCTGCAGAAGTGGAAGGATTGGATGATTTGGTGAGTGAAGAGAAGAATGCTGTGAAGCAATTGGTGCTGCAGAGCTTGCAAAACAACATGAGGAGAATCGTTAGGAGAGCGAACTTGCCTCAAGATCTTGTGCCTTCTGATCATTTCAAGTCCCTCACATCAAGCTCCACTTCAAGAAGCTTGCCGTTTTGAGTGCCTAACTGCCAGGAATTTTGGTATCCTCGATAATTCTGAAGTTAGTCGTCTCTCTTCATAAAACCATCTATCTTGTGCAGTTTGTTTTTTTTTTTCTTTTTCTTGTGGGTGTTATTTAACTAGCCTTATTGTTCATCATAAAGTTAATTCGACTTATTGTTTATTATAAATTTAATATCACAAATGTATTTAGGATTTGTTTAATAATTTAGGTTAAATATATGCTCTAGTTATCATTGTTATGATGTTTTGCAATTTAGTTTTTATGGTCAATTATATGAGCATACATCTTATGCTATTTAATTTCTAACACCATTTTAGAGGAACATCTGAAACATTTCATCTATTTTGTAGTTTTGTTCTCTTCTAAATTTTATTAATTTTTAGAGATTAAACCAACTTATCTTATACTCCGAATAAGTTTAGGTTCATGAAATCAAAACCATACTAAATGAGGAATAGAATTTAGTGATAGAACATAGTCGGGGACTCTAAAATTTTTGGAGATCCCAATTATTCTTTCTTGTTCCTTGTATACATCACTGGCCCCGTAGAATTTAATATTAGCTACACTGGTACACATATTTCTCTTAAAACATTATTTTTCCTCCTAGAAAGTAGAAACCTGAAAATGCTATTTATTTATTTTCCTTGAATTTGGAAGGTGTAGCTGAAACAGGTACTGTTCACTGCCCCTTCTTGTCTCCCAACATCTTGCCTCTTGCTCTCCAATATTTTACTCTCTATCTCAGGATCTTCTATAACATTTCTTAAGAAATTTATAAACATGATATGATTTGAATTATACTAAAAAAGCTATATTATATTTCATTCTTCAGGATTGATGCAGTTTTCCTTGTAAAAGATGATGTGAGCTGTAGAGGTAACATCTCTACTGCAAATGTAGCATTATGCTACAGTGCTTTTAATTCAATATAGATTTTGAAAGTTGATCTCTGCAACTTCTTTATTTTCATTTTGAACTTTTGGGTCTCTTTAACTTTGGACTAGCTAGCTATTCTATAGGTCTTCTGCACAAAATCAAGTACTAACTGGTGCTGCAATTGCTTTGTTGTTAAACCAAAAGTAGCTGGGACTTGCAATAAACAAGGGGAAGGAAGTGGAAGGTGTAGGCAGTTAATGTGTCTGAGAATTATTTGAAAATGACACCCTCTACCAGTGCCTCTAGTGATCTAGCAACAATAATTAGAATTATTTGGAAATGTACTGTTGACACAATAATTGAGAAAAAATTAGTATTATTAAGTAAGTTCATACTATCATTTATTGTCTATCACGTTAACGGGAGTATGATACTTTCATTTATTGTCTATCACATTAACGGGAGTATGATACTTTCATTTATTGTCTATCACATTATGGGGGTATGATATGTTGATAGGTTGAGAATAACTTATTTGTCTCTTTCCATTCTTTTTTTAATATTTAGTGGGGATTTGATGTGTGAAGTAATGAGAATTATGATCGGTAGTTGAGTTATTTATGAAGGTCTTATCTCGAGCAATGAAGACAGAATGAGAATCCTCCTGAATATCAAGTGGGTGACACTTTGAGTGTTATAATCCATATAGTTACCTGGACATTGATTTTTATTTAATTTTGATGTTCATCATCTTCAGCAGCTGCTGCTGCAGCATTTGAAACTTTAAAGCTCCGGGTGCTTATTTGCTTATACTTAATAAATGGTTTCTTGTAGATTTGTGTTGTGTTGTGTTGTGCTGTGCTGTCCGACAGCGATTGTGTGGGGCTGTACAATTTGTGAAATCTCAAGGATGTTTCTTTGGACGTTGGATTTAATTTACTTTTCATGCGTTTCAAAATTGGAATAAATAAATAAATTTTTAAAGAAAGAAAGAAAAATTACGAGAAAACAAATATAATTTTTTAAAACTTAATTTTTTTTTTTTTAAAAAAAAGAAATCAAATAAAACTTGAATAACCAAGTGAATATTTAATGAAAAATAAACAATTTAAGTAATAATTTTTTTCAAATATAAAAATTAAAATGTGAATGAAAATGACAAAAAAAAAAAAAAAAAAAAAAA